CTTTTCTGTAATCAGAGAAGTCAATTTATCCATTTCAGCAAAATCTATCAACTTCATCAACCATTCCTCCATAGTGGGCAATGTTGAATCTTTCCATCTCTGTGCATATAGCAACCTCGCCACATTAATCATATATTGAAATAATCTTCCATGGCTTTTTCCTAACTGTTTGTTTATTAATCCTAAAAGGAAAAGTTCTGGTTTCAACTGAATACTGATCTTTAGAGTCCTCTGTATCAAAGTATGTATTTGAATCCAATGTTTTAAAAACGTTTTTACATATCCACCAAACATGATGAAATGTTCCTTCATGCTGTTCACATTTCCAACATATATTTGACGTACTTTTATACATTCTAGATAATTTTTCTGGAGTCATGTACCAATGATACATCATTTTATAAAAATTCTCTTTAAGATCATAGCACAATGTAAATTTCAACCCTTTTAACCACATATTTCCCACTGATCCATCTGTATATTATAACCAAAGTTCTTAGCCCATTTTATCATGTATTCTTTTACTTGTTCTTCCTCTGTTTCAAATTTCAACAAAAGTTTATACATTTTAGCAATTACATATTCATCATCAGTACATAATTGTATTTCAGATTCTGACTTACTTTGCTCCATGCCATAAGTCTTTTTATCCATTTTAAATCTTTCAAGTAACAGTAAATGGGAAAACCATTGACAACCATATCCTTCTGCTATTAATTGTTCTTTTGATTTGATCTCAAATTCCCCTTGATAGTTTTCCAATAAGTCCTGATACATCAACCATTTATCTTTATCTGCGATTTCTTTTCTATAATATGGTTCTTGAGCTGAGATCTATAAAAGTGTTTTCGGGCACAGCCTGGGTTTATATCTATTCCATATTCTCAATATAGCACGTCTAATAAAATGATTTTTAAACTTCACATTAATTTTAACTTTATCTTACCATAAATATCCATGCCATCCAAACCTCAAGTCATGAACTTCTAATTGTAAAAGCCTCCTGTTTCTCAGCAACATTCATTCTTTCCTCCAGACTAAGTAACAAGCAGCAAACTACAATTTCAAAACTGGTAAATCCAATCTTCCTCTTCCTTTTGCATCTTGTAATACTTTATATTTAACACACGGTTTTTCCTTGCCATATAAATTTAGATATGCCTTTTTGCCATTGTTTAAATGGGACATCTGTTGTCAAAACAGGTATTGTCTGAAACAAAAACATTGTTCTTGGCAAAACATTCATTTTATTACAGAAATTCTCCCCAACAATGACAGTTTTAATTTCTCCCATCTTAACACGTCCTTCTTAATTTCAGCCCATGTTTTAACATAATTATTTTGAAATAACATACAATTCATATTTGTCAGTAATACCCAAGTATTTTACTTTTTTCTCAATCTTAAAGCCAGTTTTCTCCATCAATTCTATTTGATCTTCTAATTCCATATTTTTTGTTAACATCTTTGTCTTCTGATTATTAATCTTGAAACCTGGTAATATACTAAAATCCTTTAATTTTCCCATTAATGCTTCTACTCCCTCTGGTGGGTCTTCTAAAATGAACAGCAAACCATCCATTTCTTTTTGTAATAACATCTCATTCAATCTCCATCTAAAAGGTTAATTTTTCCTTTTAAAAGTTAAAGTCATTAGATTATGATCTGAAGATGTCTTTGGTAATATCTCTACTTTATAGACATTATTCGCCAAAGTCTTAGAAATCCAACCTGTATCTATTCTTGAAAAAGATCTGTGTCTTTCAGAAAAATAAGTATATTCTTTTGATTCTCCATTTTTATGTCTCCATGCGTCAACAAGCTCCAGATTATCCAGTAAATAAAAAAAAAGTTTGGTAATTTTCCCTGTGTTATTTTAATATTTTTCTCAGAAGTTCTGTCTTTTTGTGGGGAAACCACTCCATTCCAATCCCCCAGGACACACCAATTTTCATATGTAAAATCCAAACATTTATCTATAAGTCCTTTGTCAAATGCTGTTTTATCTTTATTTGGGGAATAAATTCCCAATATCAAAGTCTTAGCCCCCTGTAGAGTGACTTCCACCCCAACATATCTGTCATAATCATCAGTCAATATAAGTTTTGGATATAGTTGGGGGTTTATATACAAAACAACTCATTTTTTTATCCTACTGAAATAAATTCCTCTCCCAGATTTTTGTGACTCAAATATTTTGCATCTTTTTTCCCCTAATATGTGTTTCTTGTAGACAAATCACATCTTGTTTTAACTTTTTCAAATAATGATTTTTTTTTCTCTTTTGAGGGACATTTGCCCCATTTATATTCCACCTTAAGCGTTTATAATCCATAATTAGTCCAAGATTTTGGAAAAATCTATACCTGTAGCACTCAATCTTCTTCAGTGTCTTGAATCTGTTGTGGCATTTGTTTAGTCTCATCTGTCATTATCACTTCCCTTTCTATCTCCTCCAATTCTTGTTTAAATTTTTTCAGAAAATCTCTTGCTTTCTGCACAGAATTCAACTCAAATCTCTGTTGTTTATAAGTAAAAATCACCCCTTCCAATTCATCCCATGTAAATGGAATTTTCTTCTGTTTCAGCTTGTCAGAAAAAAGTACTCTTTTCTCTTGCATAGTATTCTGATTGGGATTTCCTTAAGTACAATTACATCTGTATTATCAGTCCTTAGTCTAGTATTAAAGTGCTGCTGTAGAACTTGGTCTCTTGTCTTCTTTCGGACAGTGCACAAGCACATCCCTTGGAACATTCCTTAATTTTGCAAAATGTGTCTTGATTCTGTGGGCCTTCTCAATCTCTGTGTCAGTATCATCTTCTTCCCAATGCAGGAAATCAGACAGAGATTTAACAGTCTTTTCTCTGATATCCTCTCCATGTTCTTCTGGAATTGCTCTAAATCTTAAGCAGAATTCTTTTTCTCTGAGTTCCAATAATGCCAGATTGTCCAAATCCTTCTCTATCTCTCTGTTGATAACTTCTGTCTTACTTTCCAAAACTTCCACTTCGTCAGTAATTTGTGTTAAATCTGCGGCCAGTTGCACTACCGATTCTTGTTTTTTTCTTTCAAATCTTTTTTCATCTCTGCAGATCTTTCTTCTGCTTCCGTTTTAACTGTTGCAGTCATATTTTTGCCCAATTCTTCAAACATTTTCTGCAATAAGTCTAATGAAATACTCTTATCAGTAATTTGTTCTAATAAACCTTTACATTCTTGCCCCAAGTTGGCAGCTTTCCTAGTGGTTGCCATGGTGAGAAAGTAAAAGTATATCAATGACTATGGTAAAAGTAAAAGGCAAACTTTTTTTTCCTATTTTGCTTCTTTCTATCTTTAATATTTTAGTCCCAACTAGCACACTGTAGTCATAGTCTACACAGTCTAGCTCATATTATTCTTATCTTCTTGTTTTATAAAATCCATCAATTGCTTCTATCCTTAAACAAACAGCATTCCCACGAAGGTCCAGTCTCTTAGTCTAGTTAATTTTACTATTTTCAAAGGCACTTTCATCAGAAAAACTTACTTCTTTTATTTTTAAAATCACTGTCCCCTTTGTACATTTGAAACTTCATTTCACAATCTTATTAAGCTTTTTGCTTTTAAATTAAAATCCTTTAAGATAATGTTTTCTTTTTTTCTCTTCTTAATTTCAAAAAGAAGGTACTTTTTTGAGTTTTTTGTGCTTCACTGCCATTGGGCATATCTCTTTTAGGTTGTAAAGCAATTCAGTCGTAAAGTGATTAAGAAGGTGAGGCTTTAGCTGGCTGGGGAATTCTGGGAGTTAAAGTCCACTCATCTTAAAGTGGCCAAGTTTGGACAACACTGCTTTAGCCAGTCCAATGTCCATGAAGGCCGCACAGCAGTTTAGGGCATGTTGTAAATCCTGGCTCTGCTCAACCCACAATCGACCACAAGAAACTAAATTCCTGCGGTTGTCTCATGAGGAGCAGCTCTTCCAGAGCACAAATGGCTAATCCCCCAATTTCTTCTTCCTCTGGATAAATTTCTGTCAGCCAGAACCATTTCCTGGCTGAAAGTTCCACTGCTGTGCTGTCCCTGTTTGCAGAGGCCCTCGCAGAGATGGCTAACCAGCCATAGCACCCCACCCAGAAGCCCACCCAGTATTTTCCAAAGCCGTAGCAGTGATGGTGGAGAGTCTTGTTTGATCAGTTCTTACAGGTGCAGGTGAAACTCTGTTAGCCTTAACAGGAAGGAGAAGGTAAAAAAAGACCCTCATTTGCAGGGCTCTGAGAACTTGCCACCTGTGACCTTTTTGGTCTTTTTTTTTTTAATCTGCCAGTTTCAGTATTTTGTCTTAAGCACATGTGCACTAAAAATAATTCTCTGAGACCAAAACATATTTGTTTTTTTACTAAAATATAAAGCTATTGAAGAGTAATTTCAATCAAGTAATTATCAAGCAATGCATATACATATATACACACATGTATGTGTGTATGAGTATGTGTGTGTGTGTGTATCTCTCTCTGACACATCGCATGCACACAAATACAAGCTTCCTTTTATAAAGGAAATAAAAAGACCTTTGAAGAATAATGATAATGACTTCTTCCAGTGGCAGGATCTTACCCATTTCTTACTCATGGAGTTGGAAAGAGGCAAGCTTTGTCAAGAAGAATTGAAAACAACTGTGTAGGGAGCTTACATATGTCCCATTCTCATGTATTTGTACTTTAGTAAACTAAATTTTATAATATTGACTGTATATTTTACATAATCTATACCAGGGGTTCCTGAACCTTTTGCCATCACACCTCCCTTTAGTGTAATCTTAATGTACATACCTCCCCTAAAAATCCAAACACCAAAATCAACACAAATGAACAATGAAAACAATACAGTGAAACTTTGGGAAAGGTGGATTTATTGAAACAATTTACATCTAAGGTTCTTCCCATCTGGCCTAGGATCTGTCTGCATCTCCCCAAGGGAGAGAGACCTCCCAATTCGGGAGACCCTGGTCTAGACTGAGGTGGGTAACCTTTTGGTCCTGCAGATTTTCTTACAGGGTGGGTTTGAGAGCTTCAGCAGAAAGACAAGGATGCAGAATGGGGAGGGGGCTATGCCATGGCTATGCCATTTTCAGGGTATTTCTGCAGGGGTTTTTTGGTGGAGGAATTGGTCTTCCTTCCTTCCTTCCTTCCTCCCTCCCTTCCCACTTCACACTTAAGTTACACTTGTTACACTTAAGTGCACATAGAGCTTGCACTCTCCTTTGTGTATCTTCCACCTTCTAATAGTGAGAAACTAGGCACTGAGATTTAGCAGCGAGGGATCAAATGGTTTCCAGGAGCCACAAAGAAGGCACTTGGGAGCCTCAGGATGCCAGTCCTTGATCCAATAATGGATCATGAAATAATGTTGTTTTAATCCCCTGAAAATATTTGTCAAAATCTAAGTATCTAGTTACAACAGCTCTTTGCTTTGTGGAATCTGCTCATTAATAAGCCAAATATATCTGGAAAATTATGGGTTTTTCATAGCTTTCCGAGAATCTGTTTTGCCCTTCTAAAACCTAGGATGTGTGCTTTCTTCTTAATTTAACTGCTTTATTATCCTAAGCATTGGTACTTCCTACCAGTTTATGACCTGAGATTGTGGCTTTTTATGTTGGTTGTTTTAGTGACATAACAAAAATATAGGTTGAACAAATGGCAAGATTTTGTTCTCTGTGGTCCTGCCAACCCCTCCCTCTCCCACCAACTCTTTCTTATATGGCTCTTAAAGACCTTGCTAACAGAAAAGGGAGGGGTGTTAAAGCAATCTCACTTTGCCCTGAACTGTTTTTTCATAGGTGCTTGGTGCTGTAAGGGTCAGAGTAAGCATGGGTTCCCAGGATGTGCCAACTCCATTTCTCGGTTCTTAGAAAAGAAGACCTCAGCATGCTCAGTATTTACCTGCCATCCAGCTTGTTGGCAGTAGTATCATTCTGCCAGATTATCATGGGAGAAGCAGGGAAATGCTGTGGGCCAATGACAGTCACATATTTAAGGCGACATTGGGTTTGGTTCCTGAGGCTGAAGCCAAGTTGCTCTTCCAGTAGTTCTATCTCTTGCCATTGCTTCTCTTATTAAGGAGCTGCCCTGGGTCTTCTAATTTTCCTAATAGCAAGAGGGAGATTCTAGGAATTGTAGTCTCAATACATCTGGATGGCAGTAAGTTGGAGAAGACTATAGCAAGGCTCTTGGGGCTAACTAATGCTTGGTTCTCTATGATTGGCAGGTAAAATTGAAATCAAGATTGTGACAACTGGTGGCCTTGGAGATGACGATGACACCCACTGGCTCTCAGAAGAAGACACCAAGAACCTCAAAGACATCTTCTTCAATATTTTGGTAAGGATTTATGATACCAACACTGGTATAATGGGGAAAAATATTTCCCTCCTATCATCCCAGCACAACTGAGAAATTGTTCAGAGCATAGAAAGCTAGGAGGCTGGCTCTAGGTATTTCATTTTATGTGCATCGTGGCAGTGAAGGAAACAGTCTAGGACAGTGTTGTCCAAACTTGGCCATTTTAAGATGAGTGGACTTCAACTCCCAGAATTCGAGGCTGGCTCTAGGTATTTCATTTTATGTGCATCGTGGCAGTGAAGGAAACAGTCTAGGACAGTGTTGTCCAAACTTGGCCATTTTAAGATGAGTGGACTTCAACTCCCAGAATTCGAGGCTGGCTCTAGGTATTTCATTTTATGTGCATCGTGGCAGTGAAGGAAACAGTCTAGGACAGTGTTGTCCAAACTTGGCCATTTTAAGATGAGTGGACTTCAACTCCCAGAATTCCCCACCCAGCCATGCTGGCTGGAGAATTCTGGGAGTTGAAGTCCACTCATCTTAAAGTGGCCAAGTTTGGACAATACTGGACTAGGAGTTTCTCAAGAGAATCCTCCAAATTTGAGGGACAAGGTCGGACAGCAAGGGGGGGAGAGTGAGAAGTCCCATCATGTGAGAAGGATTCCCATTATGTAAGGTTGCATTCCACTCCTTGCATGTTGGCAGAGGGGACCCATTGGTGGATTTTGGAACGCTCTTAAAAGTGGCAGAGGTGAAAACCGAGATCAGATTATAGAGGTGAATTGAAGTGCTCCCATGTATTTCAGGATGTTTTTGCAACTTAATCCCAGTTAAATAATGGCAGCATTTCTCAGCCCCTTTGAGGAAGGAAAGAGCCCCTTTGAGAAAGAGGGAGCCCCCTGCCTTTAGGTTTTCCCTCTTAGAGCAGCAAAGTGCTTTGGCCAGAAGTTCTTAAGAGTTTGCCTTTTGCCTTGTATGTGGGATTTGTCTGTCTGCTTTATTGCTTTGATATTTGTTTCTTAGATCCAGGGCACAGAGGAAGCACATAAAGAGCAGCGGCGGCAACGTCAGCTGGAAGACAACTACCGTTTTGTGTGGGGGCGTAACCAAGAAGAGCTGCCTACCACTGGTGGGACTGAATCAGACGATTTAGATTTCTGATCTTTTGCCAATCTTCAGAACTCTGGCATCCATGGAAGCTCCTCTGCAGGATTTGGCTGGCACCTTTTCACTCATGTGCATCAGGAGGACCAATATGTTTTGTCGCTAGAATCTCATTTGAATGTGCATAAGACATTGGCAAGCCCAAGGCAAGCACTACTCCGAGCTGTGAATTGTCTCCTTTAGAGCTGTTGCTGTCAAGTGAGTTTCTCTAAGGCACCCACTGCCACATTTCCTCTCGCACTTTAATGGCTTCTGTAGGCTGCCTCAGATGGAGACAGTGGCATTTCTTCAGGACCCAAGCTATGGTGCCCTCCTTTTTCAAGCTATTGGCCTCAGTCCTCAGCATCAGAAATGCAACGTGGTGCCCAAATCTTGACTTGAAAATGATTAAAGGCATGCACAAGAGAGAGAGAGAGAGAGGATCCCCATACAGAAAATGCCCATCGATTCACCACAAGACTGAATCAAGTTGGAGAGCTAAAACTGGTGCCCTTCTGTTTCCAAAGCCCTCATAAATTGGAAGGAATTATCTCATGTTTTATGTCTCACCTCTGTGCCTTGAAATGTCGAATCAGAGGAGAGGACACTCTTTGCTTGTGCTGTGTTGACCTCCTCTCAGCAATCTTTTTCTTTAGGTCTAAACATTTGAATTGTGGGCAGATCCGCTCCAGTGTACAGGCTGTCCCTTGACTATCTTCATTTCTGGAGCATCCTTTGTGTACTGAATCCAGCAAAGAAATGTGGTGGAGGGTTGGGAGAAAGGCTACTGTAGGCTGATCTTCCTAGCCATGTTGTTTCACATACTAAAGGGCCTTAGACATAGGAGTATGTGAACTGCATTAAAAATGCTGCCGGTGTAACAAATTCCAAGCTTCATGGAGGTACGGGACTGGCTATTCCTTCTGTGAAGTCTCAAGCAGTGAGCCTAGCTGAAATTTGTGCAGCAAGACAATGATTTGTTTCAAATGCTGTTGAACAATCTGGGCTACTGCATGGGTGACTGGAGGTGAGGAATTGTGGCCAAGGGAAGGGGCAAGGCTGAAGGAATACTGCTGCCTTCCTTGACACATCCAGGACAATTCACAATTCATTTTTCTATCAATAAATCCAGATGAACCCAGCCTAGAGTTTGGTGTTCGCTTATGTGACTTTGTATGGATGGTACTGGCTATAGGAGTGATCTGAGCAGAGCATCAAGTCATCTCTGTATTGAAATAAATAGGGTGGCTTCTCTTTAGTTCTTATTAAAAAAAAAACAAGTATCACTTCAATACAGGCGTATGCTGTAGGGTTTGGTGATCAGTCTAAACCATTTTTTTGTCTGGTACAATAAATGCTGCATTGTGAAACTTCAGTGAAGGTTCTTTTTGTTCAAGATCTTGATAGGAAAGGGATTGATTCGTTTGCAATTTAATAAACAAAAGATAACCAGTAACTGTAACACTGATGATTCAGGCAAAGGAATGGTCTTGTCTAAGTTTAGCAGAACAGGCAATCTATTCCATTCTATTGGTTTCCATGATATGGTCCCCAGAAGCATCCAAGGAACTCCAAGGTATTTCTCTTGGTGCCCCCTTGATTTGATTTTTTAAAAGTTACTTTTAAGATAATAAAGAAGTGGAAAACTATCCTTACATTGATTTTCAAGAAAGTCTGCCAATCCACATCAACCCCGTAGACCATTGTAGAGATAAAAATGACCACTTGACTACAGCCTGGTGGTCTGTTTTGCAAGTGTGCCAGTCTGCCCAGGGAACAGATCAAAACAAGTGGAAAGTGGTAAACAAAGATGGCAGGCGAGTGAGAGCAAAGACATGGGGGCAGCCACATTTGGTGGTTTGGAGTTTCTTAAGTGCCCATAACCCACCTCAACAATCATAAGTAGCTGTAGCTGTGGTATTCCAACAATGACCTGAGATATGTTAGTGAGGAGCCTGGGCAGCAGAAGTGAGGTCAAGTCAAATGAGATATGTAATTGGTTCCAACCCTGCGGCTGTCCAGACATAAATCTGTGACTGCATCTAGGTCTCTGTCAAATAAAATCACTCCAGAGGATTTATTTTTGTACATTTGTCAGCAACTGAGATTACCTGTTGGACTGCCTGAATAATTGCTAGATCTGGAGCCTGCCCTGGACTGGACTGGGGGCTGGTCATTGTAAAGTAGAACTGGAATTGTGCCAGCATCTTGCTCCAATGGTTCAGGGATAATGGGGGGAAGTAGATTATGTGAAGATGTAGGATATGTGATTGCATAATTCAAGATAGCCAAGTGTGCCCAGTGTTGCTGAGTATGCAAAAGTAGGAGTAGCACTGAGAATGTTGTGGTTTTGCTGCAGGGGGTAGTTGGAGGAGTGGAATGTGAGATTGGGGGACTCATGGCCTGTGAGAGAGCAGTGTGGTGATAGGGAGAGGGAGATAGGATGGAAATCTGAGGGCAGGTTGCTCATGGGGAAGGTGATGGCAGTGTTCAAGTCTGATTCCTTCTTCCAATCCCCAGTATTAGATCACTGGATCCTCAGTGGCCTTGTGCTCTGGCTGTTGCCACTAAATGCCAGCCACTGTGGATGAGGCAGTCAACTTGGTATGTGTAACTGAGACTTTGGTGGCCCAGAGGAGGGATTCCTCTGCCTGAAATATGCCAATGTAATGGATGGCATGAGCGAGAAAGATACTGGAATGGAGGATCAAGGTTATCAGGAGGGAGGGGGGACATTCCAGAGCAAGCACCTTCTCAGTCCACAGCAGGAATGTGGGAAGACAAAGAGGATGAGGATAGCCCCCCCCCCCCGAGTCTCATGGGGTATATCCACGAGTTGCTTTAGCATAGGTTTAGTCTGGTGAGATTCTGTCTATTAGGTGGAAGCTAATAAAGGAACTATATTGGACTGGACTGTCTCATTGTCGTTCTTGAGCTGGGCCTGACAGCCCACTTGGGTTTCAAGTCTGGCACCAGCTCCACCCTGGGGTGGGGGGAGGGTAGCAGTTCTCATCTGAGAAGCCGTAACAGCTTCAGAGGTGTTGCGCCTGAAGTTGAGGTTGGGTTCTAGGGAACAGTTGAGTTGCTTTTTTACTGGTGTACAGTATTGGCTGTGCAGCAACATTTCTGCCCAAACTCAGCTTTGTTCTAGAGTTGGTGATGGTGACTTCCTCTGAGGGGGAAGGTTCTACCTGCCTTGAAGGAGGTGGTGATGTGCCTCCTCTTCAAGGCCATTGGTAGACTGAATAGTCCTGGAGAAGTTTCCTCTAGTCTCCAACCTCACCAATAGTAATAAAGGTTGTTGAGAAGATAGTCAAGCTGCAGCTTCAGAGGGCCTTGGAGGAAACATCTGGACACTTCAGTTGGATTTCAATCCACAGCATAGTACTAAGACACATTAATCACACTTCTTGTTGACCTTTGGTGGAGCAGGGATGGAGGTAGTGCAACCTTCAATGCCATCAATTGTGGTATACTTGGTGGGGAGGATTGGGAGTGAGGGACATAGTGTTGTAGTAGTTCTCCTTTCTCTGTGGTTAGTTGCAGCAGGTGTTCACAAAAGGGGAGAGGTTGAGCCCAAAGCCTCAGATTTACAGGATGCCACAGGGGTCAATGCTTTCCTCTCTTCTGTTTAACATCTATATGAAGCCCCAGGTGAGATAATCTATTGATGTGGGGTCAGATAATCAACAGTATGGTGATGATACTTGTATAGTTTGGCCCTGGTCAACAATGATGCTATCAAGATCTTGTCCCAGTGCTTGGAGGCAGTTGGGATGGGGGGGGGGGGGGAGGGGACAGACTTAAGTTGAGCCCTAGCAAAACCAAATAGCTGTGGACCATCTAGCCCAGGCACTTGCCATCTTTAGTTCTGAATGTGTTTGCACTTCTCCAGATGTGCAGTTTGGGAGCCTTTTTGAACTCTCAGCTTCTGCTCAAAGAGTAGATGGCAGTTGTGATCAGGAAGGCCTTCACATAGATTTTTTGTGTGACAGCTGCCCTTATTCCTGGACCAGGAGGCCCTTCTCATGGTCATACATGCCTTGATCACTTCACACCTGGACTACTGTATTGTGCTGTACATGGGACCGAAGATCACTAAGAAGTTTCAGCTGGTCCATAACATGATGGCATGAGCAATTATGAGCATGCCATGGTACACCCATGTAACATGGCTGCCTCACAAGCTGTTATGGATTACCATAGGAGGAAGAGTGCACATCTAAGAAGTCTGTGATAGAGATGAAGAACAGAAGTTGGGAACTGGTGCTCCTGATGCCGCACCTTCATGGACCATTCTTCTGTTTCACAAGCAGCTGTTTCACAACCATCCTCAGAGGGAACTGAGGCATCTCAGGTCTAGCTTTCCCAGGGTGGCTAAGGGGTAGGAATATCTGATTCAGAATGAAGGTTACAAAACGAGAGAGACTGAAACAGTGTTTCATATAATGCAGTTTCAAACCACAAAAGTTTTACATAAGGAACACTGAAAGTAGAGAAGAGGACAAGTCCTATAAACACACAGTGTAACTAGCTTATCAAACACAGTTATATTAAGTAGCATCTTCATCCAGCCTACAATCTCATGGGTAATTTCACAAGTGGTTCTGCAAGAGGTGTTCAAGGAGATGACAAATCTTATAAAAATCTCATTTTCCTCCCCTGGAAAAATCCCCACTTCCAATTTGAGTGGAAATATCCACAGATTCTCTCCCTTACTTCAGAACAGGGGCGTTCAGAGTGGTATGTGGCATGGATAGTTTGGGGAAGACTTTGGAACCAAAGATCCTCATTTTTCAATGATGCTCCCAATCTCAGAAGGAGCTTATAGTCTGAAGCCGGTCTAAATTATGGGTCCTTACATAATGGGAAGGAAATACAGTAAGTAACTTTGAGACCCAATGGTACTGGACATGGATCAATCAAGACCCTGTTTGACCAGGGAACTCACTTTGGGCCAGACTGTCTTGGCTCACTCTACCTCACAAGGTTGTTGTGATGAGGATAAAATAAGCAGAGGCTCCCACTTATGTCACTCAGAGAGAAAAAGTGGGATAGAAATACAGTTAGTAAACTCTACCCCACCACCTGGAATAGAATGAAGAATAACACTTGGCCCTCCCCTCCTCTCATCTTGAATCCAGCAGAACCTTGGACATGTTGGAACCCTGTTATTATTTTTGTTAAGGTTCTGTGAATACAATTCAAGAGCAAGGTAAACAATATATAAAATTTAAAAGTAATAGACTGCTCCATGGCACATGCTTGCAATATATGGAGCCCTGAATCCCTCCACTGTAGCATATGAATTCACAGCAACAAGACTTACTGTGCCATCAAGTCAGTGTCAACTCTTAGTGACCACACAGATTCTCCTTGACAATTTATCCCTAACGTAGTCTTTCAGGTCTTCTAACAGTGCAGTGCAGTGCAGTCACCACCACTGTAACTGAGTCCATCCACCTTGCTGTTGGTCATCATCTTCTTCTTCTTCTCTTTCTTTCCGCCTTTCCCAGCTTTAGAGCCTTCTCCAGAGAGACCTATAGGGCCACATAAATCAGCTCAGCCCACATCTTGTTGGTCGCCAGAGATGTGAGGCTAGTAATTGTCCCATCATCAAACATATTGGGGTTGTCTGGCTTGGCTGTTGAGGCTTGCTTTGACATCTGTGATGGGGCCACACCCTCCATTGCTGCCTGGGATGCCACAGGCACACCATATTCATACCCAACAATATAAAAAGCTTGTTTCCATCCTGTCCCTGCCTAATGACAGGGCTGGGCCAAACTTTATACAAATTGCTATCAAATTAAATGGGCTAGAAATCCAGTCTTTCCTATTTTGAAATGACTTGCCAAGCAGACTTTTTGTTGTTGTTAATTAAATAGCACTGTTCTGCTTCTATTTTAACACAACTTTCACTTCCTTCTTTCTTTTCCTTTTTTTTTTTAATGAGAGAGAACAACTCAGTGAGAATCTTGTTGGGCAAGGTAGAAGGAACAAGATGATATTTTACAAATGAGTGGTTTAAACATTTACAGACATATAAAAATATTCAGGGTGCAGCCAGAATCATTCAAGTAATTCTAGTTCTTGTACTTTGAAACAAGGGGTAGATTTTCAAGGATAAAGGCAAACATGTAAAGAATTATTTTATAGATGAACTGGAAAGTTGTGTGGATGGTTGTGGTAAGCTGGAACTCAAATTGAATCAGTATGTAATCAAGTTTATGTTTGCTTATGTAGCGATTTTATATCTGACTCGTCACTGTTGGAAACAGGATACAGGATTAGCTGAACTGGTTTTATCCTGCATGGCTCTTCTTAGGATCTTACTATATAGTAAGAAAACTATTGTGAAATAATGATTCCATG